AATTAAGTCAAGAAGTGAGGGAGAAGAGTTTGGGATATGATGGGTGGCACTAAGAGGAAGAATATGAAGATTACAAGAGCTAATAACAGAATTAAGAGAGGCAGCACGGGAATCATTTTTCAGAAGACAGGTATTGAAATCACCCATTATCAATGTATGGCTATAAGATGGGACAACATCTCCTAAGAGCTGTTCAAAAGAACTGAAGAAGTTCACATTTAAAGAGGGGCTGTAATAGACTCCGAGAAGGACTTTTGTGTGTGACAGGAGAATCTCAACTAGCAGATGCTCGCCAGCATTAGCTGGAGGAGGTTGTGCAGAGGAGCAGATTACAGTAAAGGGAATATGAGTACGTAAATAAATTGCAACTCCACCACCTCGAGAGCCAGTGCGATCGTTACGTATCAAACGAAAACCAGGTAACGTATAGGATTAAGAAGGCAGAGAAGGTTTAAGCCAGGATTCGGAGACTAAAACAGCATGAAGGTTTTTGTGGTTGAGAGACGTTAGCATATCAATGAAATGAGCCGGAACACTTTGCGCATATATGTATATATATATATATATATATATATATATATATCGAGATCTCGCGAGTTTTGTATTCATTTATGTATTCATATTGTAAAATTATCTACTCACCCAACTTTTTTCACCTCCAACGCATGCAAGTTTTGTTGCACATTATCTACTAAAATTCGCGTCTGAACTCCGCCGCCACTTAACACCAGGTGGGGTGGAGTCATTAAATAAAACTTGCATTTTTTTGTGGTAAGATTGCAAGGATTCGAATTTCATTAACATTTATTCGGATTAACATTTTTCTAAAGTTTCGAACTGCATTTTTTAATAAGTAACTACTACGTTTTTGTGTGGCTTAAAGTCCTTTACTCTCCAAATGTCACACGGTGTATGATCACGTCTTCCAAATTGCTAGGTGGCGACGAGACCTCCTAACCTGCCAAGCCTATATTCTCTAGAGAACAACGGTTGAACTTTGACCACTGAATATAAGTATATCGGTTAAAATTCATACGTAAGTTGCTGTGAAAAAAAAACAGGAATAGGGTTCCGTATACCTACGTGTTTGTCATAATCAACCTACCTCGCGTAGGCTTTGTGACGGTCGGCAACTGCAGTTGCAACCGGACCAACGGCTTAATAGGCCTTCAGACGTACGGAGGAGCTTGAGATAATACAATTTTGGTCACCCATTCGATGACCGGCACTTGCCAAAGTTGCACAAATTCTACGATCGCAGACCGAATAAGCCAATCACTGCGTCATAAAGCTCGACACACTCGAAGTCCGTACTAATATTTTAAACACGAAAGTGTGTCTATCTGTCTGTCTGTAACTTATTCACGGTTAAACTGCTGAACTGGTTTAGGTGAAATTTGGTACAGAGATATTTTGAGTCCAGTGGAAAGATATGAGATAGTTTTAATGCAAATATCATCCTTGAAAGGGGGTGTCAGGGAGCTGATTTTTTTTATGAAAAACTTTTTTTTCCTCGCAGACAAAGGACTTTGGTCCTCGGAAGACAAAAGGACTTATCACGAACTCAACCAACACGATGTGCGAACACTTGTCCCCCGAAAATTTAGAAAAGCGCATGATACTATGGAAATAAATATTCAGATTACGTTTTGTTGTAATTAACATGAAGTTTATAAATAGGGAGAAGATATTTTAAAAGGGTATCTCTATAAATCGGATCGAGCGCGCAACGCGGATTAAAGTTGCCATTGTTGTGCTACGCCTTGTCACACGAGTTTTATTTTTTTCGGGGACACCCGCGTACTTTAATCCCATCCTGTCACTGCTTTCCGGTGTCCTCGGTTGTTCGGGGAACTTTTTGTACGCGTTATTTTTAATCCGTCGACGTGTGCAATTGTAAGCAATCAATTTTAACGGACAAAAAAGACCGCGGACTATTATACCAACAGGCTATTAAAGAAGTGAAAACGAATAACATTAACATTGATTAAACTAGTTACTAATTAAGGACTGAACTAATAATCATAACTTACTTACAGCCCCTTACCCAACATACATTTTCTTGTCAGGTCTTACCTACCCTACAATCCTTTTACTCTCATCCTATTCCTCTCTTCTTCCTTTCGCCTCTCACTGTTAATGAGCGACTTCTACTCTTTCTCTCTTTCCCACCCATCCGACCTCCCTGGCTGCATTTCGATGCTGCCTCGGTTTCTTATTGGCCTATTCCACCAACTAATAAATTCACAACTCCATAAAACAACACAATCCGTCATCAACGAAACTATGTAATCAATAAATTTAAAAAAATACATTCAGACGAATTGCAATATCTCCTTTTTGTCTTTATAGCCGTGCAGGTGATCTACATGCGATTTATTATATTTTTAATTATTACTAGTATGTACATAAAATTAATTTGGTTGAAATGAACTGCAATCTTTCACAATGCTCTTTTCTCGTTAACATAACTAACATAAAAGTAACATCCGTCAAGCCGTGTTTTGTATTTAAATATTATACCGCAGAGACGCATAATTAACATTTACCATGGTGATACGAGCTACTTTCTTATGGAGCGATTACCCTTGGTCATAAGCCGGAATACAAATGCCTATGGAATTCGAGTAAATGACTAAGGCCCGTATTACAGCAAATGTTGATCTTTACTTGAGTAGCGTTAGAGAGGGATGCCCCTATGTGCTATATATAGCGACATCTCATACTGACTATGCTCAAGACTAGATTCATTACTGAGAATCTTTCTATAATACGGGCCTAAGAGTAAATGAACTGAGTCGAGTACGCTCGTAGTCGGGTAGATTTACTTTTGTTTACCCGACACCGTGTTCTAGTCCGTATTCCAGTGTAAATATTGCTTGGGGTGCTCGAATTCGATTAATGTCTTTCGTGCACCCGAATATGGGCTAACTACCAAATGTAATGAGGGCTACCCTTTTTTTTGTCTCACCAGATGATGCCACTGTTGAGTGAGGTCCTGAAATGTAGCTATTAAAGTTTGTTAATACGCGCGTGAATTAGATGTTTACATTCAAATCATATTTTAATACAAAAGATGCGTATCGTAAATATAATCGGCCATGCCGCAGTGTTGCGCAGTTCCGTTTTGTTCGGAAAAATAAGGGAATATTTTTTCTTAGCTCCGCTTTTAAATAACTGACATTCATTGACACGTAACTCATATTTTCTATAATTAATCTGAGTTATTACACCAAAAAATTCACAATAATATTTTTAATGAGAAATAAACTCGCGTATTCAACCCACAAGCAAAACATTGGACATTTCGGTGATCTTTTTTTTAATGTTTAATAGGCTAGGCGTTTGACCACAATCTCTCCTGATGGAAAGCGATGATGAGGCCTAGGATGATACACGCCTGCCTAGAAGATGCCTCACGCAACACAAGCGCCTCTAGCGGCGGATTCTTGCGCGATATCCCTCGATGAGATTCGGGCGTAAGAGGAAAATGCGGGTGCGAATCCCGTCTGCTACCTGGACCGATTGGAAAAGTCCAAAGTTTCTTAAGATTTTGAAGTCGAGCTGTTAAATGCTTAAAAACTAAATCTTTCTTAGTGTTCAGAGAAGAATATCTTTTTCACCCTAGACTAGGGCTTCTACCCTATGGTCGTTACTCAAGAAGTTTGCCTGGGTGTATATTGTTAGCAGCCCCACCAATCCGCACTGGTCCCGCATGGTGGGACAAGACCCAATACAATCCCTCTTCAATCCGTAAGGAAGGCCTGTGCCCCAGCCCAACAATTGGGGCATTAATATGCTACATAACGATGATGATTAGGTACTCTAAACAAAATGCGAAGAATACCCAAAAGAAACGCAATATTCTGTTTAGAAAACTTTATTTTTAGTAAAGGCATTTTTCACTTACAAATCTATTGTGATAGTTTTACTGTCTACAGTAATAATATTTTTTTAAAACAAGTGCAAAATGCTGATTGTAGACAACTGTATTACCAATCTTAACAGTCTAAACTCCTAACTTTTGTAAGTATCGGAAGCTTTTTTTAACATAACGAAGGCAAAGCGTACTTAGTATACAGCCTTGTATTTAATAACTTTCATCAAATGTAAATTTATCGAAACTCATGGCAATAAAATACATTAATAATAAATTCATAACGTTCCAATATGCGAATATTCAAATTAGGAAGCCATTGATGCCAATTCTGGCGTGATTCTCTAAACTTAAAACTAAATTTAACATCAGTCTCTCCTTTTCATTCTGTATAGAGAACGACAAGGATATACTGCTGTCAAATTTAAGTTTAGGTTTAGAGAATCATGCTAGAATCGACACCATTATTTACCCTTAATTGTTAGGTAAACTTGACAAACTTAAAGAGTTAGGCCCCATAACTTAGAAATGCTGCGGACTCCGGAAATATAGCTTACATGCTTTAAGATAAGTTCTTTTTATATTATGCTTCTTATTATAATAACTGCATGGTTCTTATTATAACAGCATACAATATTGTCCTTAATAGTTCATCAAAATCTATCTGAATTCTTAAAAAACTATTTAAATGCCAGCAAGAATGACAGTTTCTAACGCGATCGCGTGGATCATATGCATAAAGAATGAATGGATTGCGCGTTGGGTAACCAACTGTGATGCACTTCACTTGGCTAATCGTGATTGCTCTTAGAAAATTTGACAAAAGTCTGACCTTTTTATTCCTTACAAAACATGATAAGGACACACTATTGTCAAGTTAACAAATAGCAAACACGAACAGCCAAGTGAAGTGCCGGCATGAAGTTGAATTAACCAAATAAGTATGATAGCGATGAAGCGACGGGGCGGGCTATAGAGCACGTATTAGTTGTTTTTTGTCTCTGTCTAAAGGTACCAATTTCATATACGTCTCTCAATCCATTCTTTGTCTATGGCAATCTTCAAAATAGGTTGGATCCGTAAATAGCAAAAGCCTTTTCACCTATACTAATGACGAATAAACCTTAATACAGTGTGACCAAAATCTACTGGCGCGTGATCGAATTTCGAACTAATTTGAGGTATAATAAGCCTTTTATTTTCAGATGGAGATGTGATAAAGCTTTTTCTATTTGCTATTACTCTTTCCGAGATATTCTAAATTATGTACAAAGATCCTTTTAGTGATGAGATTTGACATAATTCGTAATACTCATTTCACCACTCATCAGCACCACCCCCTTGCCAATGTCATAAAAATGCCAAAAGATCTTGGTCGCACTGGACTTTAAAATAAGGTCTTTTATCGCCAAACACACAGGTTCAAGTTGGGTTTATTCGCCAAGTTGCTTATACAACAAGGGTACGTAGTCATCGTATTGAGCTTGGTAGAAGTTGCCGGCTATCGGGTCACCGAGGTTATATTTTTGGGCAAACTTGGAGATGGAGAATTTCGCACGGTTGTCACCAGACCTGTCAAATGGAGAGAATTAATTGATCTTTCATAAATATTAGTGGTAGTTTAAGATCCCATGAGAAGCTCGATGGCTCAGGAATCTTGCAATCGTGGAAGTTAAGCAACTTTCACAACGGTCGGTCACTGGATGGGCGACCAAAACTTCTCATCTCAAGCTCCTCCATGTTTCGGAAGGCACGTTGAGCCGTTGATCCTCGCTGCATCTGCAGTCGTTAGCACCCACCAATCCGCACTGGGACCGCGTGTTGCGTCATGGCCTTATCTCTCTATTCTATCCATAGGGAAGGCCTGTGCCCTAGCTGTGAGGACATTAATATCCTGATTTTGATATCCTATATTCATGCTGGAGAGGAAGGGAAAGAAAATAAAGAAAATATTCACGATGATCATACACCAACAACTGTCAGATTTTTTTCATCATCAGAAAAATTAATATCATTTCACGGAATTCCGAAAATAATTTCCTTTACATAGGCTCAGAGTTAGTCCATGACTTTTGTGCTTCTCCACCCAATGGTGGAGAAGCAGAAAAGTCATGAATGGTCCAAGCACAATTGCTTAGACCATTTAATGATAAAAACTTAATGATATTAAAATACATCTACATATACAGATACACCACGTGCGCTCGAAATGTGTCCCAATCAAGAAGTGCTTGAACACGGTCTAGCACTTCCTCGTTCACGCCACGAATGGACCGTGAAAAGGTTAAGATACCGCAAAGTGCGTGAAAAAGAACGAAAAAAAATACCTATAGATAGATAGATTACATAAATTAACACTTTATTATAACACCAAATACATAATTACATAACATTAACAAACAATAAACTTAACAAAAGCATTATAATTGGCGGTCTTATCGCTAAGAGTGATTTCTTCCAGACAACCTATAGTACGTAGAGTGACATTTTTTCGACAGTTACCTAATCAATGTTTGTTAATTTAATAGTACAGTCAATCTGTCGAAAAAAAATCGTTTCAGTGAAAAAAAAAACTAAAGGGTAAGTCTTGTTTTTTCTGTTGCCAAATGACGCCAGTAAGCCACCTTGGCGATGGGCATGTTCAACTCGTAGGCGTTTTTTGAAAAGCTCAAAAAAACCCTCAAAAATTTTTTCAAACGCATTTTTCTTGTTTTGTATGCATTTTAGAAACTTTTTGTCGACCATAATTGTAGAAGGCGTTGAGTACTACAATTTATGTCTTTGTTGCAATCTCGTACAACAAAAAATGCGCATTGTAGGTGGCGCTAAGTCTCAAAAAAAGTGTTTTTTCACTTTTCACCCTGAAAATATCATTTTAATGGAAAACTTTAAATGGAAAAGTTGTTCCGTACATAATTACCAACAACTTATTTATAAACATTTTTTTGTATTACTTGCCGTTTTCAAGTTATAAATTGCGCAGGTATGAAAAATCCAATAGAGCGGTTTTGGGCAGTTCAAGTACACATTTGCAGTGCACATTTCAATGTACGTTTTACTATTTTTTATTTTTTTTCATGATTGTAATAATTTTGATTTGTTATTTATTTATTTATTTAATAGGTTTACCAGAAATTGTTACAATGATACATTGTCAATATTACAGCGATAGTACTATAGCTAAAAGCACAAATTATTAAAGGTAAACACCACATGCATAGTTAATAATTACCAGTAACATTAAAAACACATTAAAATAAGACATTTACATAATTCCGCCAATTTCTAAAGCTACATAATATATACTACAACTTGGTCAATTGCAAGTGCTGACGAAATGCATTGAGACTAACAGCATAAATATCAATAGACTGATCCAAAGAATTTAAAAGTCTACTTACTCTAGGGACAAACGAACTTGAACCCAATACCGTTGTGCGAAGAGGTGGAACTAATGTTTTTATTTGAGTTCTGGGTAATCTACGGGGTACATTAAATTTAAAGTAAATAAGAAGGCCAGGGCAATCTATTTTATTGTTAAATAATTTATACAAATATATAAGATCAAGTAGAATCCTACGGTTTTCTAATGAAGTATAATTAATTTTTTTTAATCTATCTTTGTATGAAAATCCTTTCCTACATTTGTTACTTAAGTAAGCTAAATGCCAAAGATATCTCTTCTGAATGCGTTCCAACCTCAGAGAGTGGCATGCATAGTGTGGTCTCCATACAACACTACAGTATTCCACAATGCTTAAGACAAATGAATTGTACAGCAGCCTTCTTGTCTGCAGCCTGCGAAATTCCCCGCCTATTCTCATAATAAATCCAAGCATGCGAGACGCTCTAAGGATAACGTTTTCTAAATGAGCAACAAAAGTTAACTTTTTGTCAAAAATCACACCTAAATCTTTTATGTAGTCAACTTCTTGTATTAATGTGTTATTAATATAATAGCTAGATTGTATAGTACGTTGTTTTCTAGTAAATTTCATATAAAAGCATTTATCCACATTCAGTTGCATACCGTTAATTTCACACCACTGATTCAAGCTATTCAAATCATCCTGCAGCAGTAAGGAGTCTCTATCGCTTTTGATTATTCTTAGCAACTTCAAATCATCGGCATACAAGTATGGGACAGAATGCGTGATATAATATACGATGTCATTAATGAAAACATTAAATAAAATAGGTCCTAAATTAGATCCCTGTGGTACACCGGAATTAATATCATATTCTTCTGAATTAAAACCATTAACGACTACAAAAAACTTACGCTTATTCAAATATGATTCAAACCAGTTAAGCAAAGCCCCTGTTATACCAAACATTGACAATTTCTTAATTAAAATTTTGCAAGGAACCCTATCAAAAGCCTTACTAAGATCCGCGTAAATAACATCGATTTCCTGCCGAGCATCTATAGCCTCTGTAAGTTTCTCAACAAAGGAAACCAAATTTGTGGACGTTGATCGTGATTTTAGAAATCCATGCTGATGATCTGTGATGAGTGGCTTAACATGCTCAGAAACATATGGGCGAATTAAAATTTCGAAAACCTTAGACATAGTAGATAAAATCGATATTGGTCTATAATTTGTAACTGAGTTATTGTCTCCCGACTTAAAAACCGGAACCACCTTTGTGATCTTCCACTCGTCTGGAAATATCCCATTTGCTACGGATCTGTTATATATAAAACAAAGGGGCACAGCAAGATTGGAGGCACAACTTCTCAAAAAAATTGGTGGAATACCGTCAGGTCCGGTTATTGACATGAAATATCGACAATTAGAGCTTTGGATTCATTTTCTTGCATGAATTAATTGCAGGAACAAAAGTAGCTGATACAAAAATGATTATTTTGTCGAACATATTTTTTGGCCGAATTGGCCCTTTTGTCAGAACTGTGCCGACGCCAACGGAGAAAGTTTCCATAGGACCGAAAAATTTACCGTTAGTAGCACTGTGTTGTATACGTAGCGCTGTATTGCACTGTAACTTGAAAACTGTAAGTAATTTAAAAAATTGTTTATACAAAAGTTGTTGGTAATTATGCACGGAACAACTTTTCCATTTAAAGTTTTCCATTAAAATGATATTTTCAAGGTGAAAAAGTGAAAAACCCTTTTTTTGAGACTTTAGCGCCACCTACAATGCGCATTCTGTAAAACCTTAATGCAAAAATAAGTGTTAGTAAGACGGAGTTAGTCGGAGCGAAGCCACGACGGTTGCTCATACACCAGGTATACAAGCTATGGAGGCCTGTGCTCGGCGTTAGCCAGTCCTGATTGGAACTAAAACTGCACTATTCTGTAATGTTACGAAAATAAAACCACACTCACATGTTAGTGAGACGAGTCTCGTCGAAATTAAATAATTAGCGATGAAAGCCGGAACAATATCCTGTAATTTCACGGAACTAATAATACCACACTACATAACTTACATAACTAACACCACACTCACGTGTTAGTTAAACGAGGTTCGTCGAAATTAAGCTTGGAGGGTTGCTTGTACACCAGGTATACGTAGCGATGGAGGCCAGTGTTTGGTGGCGGGCCAGAACCCACGTAAGCCGACAAGGTTTCTCCAGCGGATACGTTGCCGCCAGGGATGTTGCCAACTAGCCAGTGGTGCCATTCGCGGAACTTAGGGTCTTGGCGGGAAGGCGCGTCGGGATCTATGACAATCGATAATATTTTTGTTATTCTATGGTAAAGAGTTTTACAGGACGACACCCTATGTAGTCCTGTACACCCGTTTCAGAAAAACTGGATACAGAATATTTGGGTTCTCCCACATTGCTAAAGTATTTAAGGAGTGTTTGAGCATAGAAGCTGGAGTCTTCTTCAATAAAAACTCAGTTATCCTTCGTATTTCTCTTTATATACCTAGTAAGGTAATTTAATTGATAGAATTTACAAGTGCAAGACATATTTGTTAAGACATTACAATACTGGTAATAAAGCAGTTAAGTGATCAGTCAGCTAATAGGTATATCTAGTAGAAATCCTCGAACCACGTGGTGTTTGGAAGGCAGCGACTGAAGTTTGGTACGGGAGCGCGCTACATACTCCATCCGCCACTATACACCACAATAGATGGCGCCACTCGGTGATAACGTTCGCTCGCGCATACAATATTATGCGATCATCTGCATTGTATATAAGGGTTATGAGCATGCGACAAGGAGTAATAATTTAACTTTAAGAAATGGTCGCTCAAACCACTTTACCCTTCCTTTGTAATGTAAAGGTGTGTCTGGAGTACCGTATTGATGTTTTCTTTATTGAAGTTGTAGCTGCGGTAATAACTCCCCCACCCCACTTGATGTTATATTATTATGTACGAGTAAGTACTAGTGGCCGCCCGCGACTTAGTACCCGTGGAGTTAGTTAGAAATAAAGGTTCACTGCTCGTTCTCCGTAGGTGATAGCGTGATAATATGTAGCCCATATGTTGACCCGACTTCTTAATAATATTCGTGCCAAATTTGAAGTAAATCCATGAAGTACTTTTTGAGTTTATCCCAGACATTTATACAAACAGACAAAAATTCTAAAAACTATATTTTTGGCTTTGGTATCGATTGTAGATCACACACCAAGTATTCTTTTAAAAAAATATTCAATGTACAGTTTTGATTTTCCTACCATTTTATAATATGTTTAGATTCGTGAAGATAGCTGTCGCGTTCGCCTCGGAAAAGTCAACTCAACTGTTCCCACCTAGCCGGTCTGGACCAAATACACTACCCCGTAGCGATGGGCGTTGAATTAACGAACGGTTTAAATAGACGGTCTACGTTCAATCGACGCTTCGACGGTCTACAGTTTATTCGTTAACTAGTTGAATTCATAGACGGCTAAACTGAGAGTCCACAGCGTTCATATCTACTGACAACGCGACGTCGACGCGTAAACGTATCCGGTTTACCGGTTACAAGTCCATACGTTCGTTCATTCGTTGAAATAAAGCAATTTGAAACTTAAGCATATGGCATGGGAGTTGATATTTGTTCGTTTTTTAAACTAGAGTTGTTAAAGTGAAAAGGCAAGAGTATTCTGATATTGCGTGAGAGTACGTCGATGGATCTGGCTAAAGGATGCAGTGCAGGATGAACGGGTTTATAATAATTGTTTACCTCAAGTAGTTGTTGTTCTGTTTATTGAAATTTGAAATTAGTGTGTCGCGAGGTCATGGTCAAGGGACACGTGAATGCGAATTTAGTGCAAAGTTTGTTTGAATTGAATGATTATTTTATGACTTTAATTTGTGATTTATTTTGTAAACATTTAAATGACTATAATGTAAAATGAATAATATTTGTTTCTTAGGTTTTCACGCACATCACTCATTAAATAAAACTAGTTTTTACGGGTTAATGCACGAAAACTTTATTTATTTATTGACGTTTCGCAGCCTTTTCAGGTCTGCATCGTCAGAATAATGATTTTATTTAAAATTGTCGAGCTACCTTCGAAAGAATTATATTGAGCGTTCGGTTATTTCATTGGAAGATTTTTAAAATTTTATTGTCTATGTATGAATTTATTATTTAATTTACTTAATAAAGTATAAGAACCGGCGAAACAAACTCAAGAGAGGCTCTCTTGAGTTTGTTTCGCCGGTTCTTCTCAGGAAGGTCTCCCAATTTTGGAACCGGTGGTAGTTTACGGTAGTTAGGGTCAAATAAATAAACTCAAAATTACAAACAAGAATTTGAAATAAAATACTTTATTAAGTAAATTAAATAATAAATTCATACATAGACAATAAAATTTTAAAAATCTTCCAATGAAATAACCGAACGCTCAATATAATTCTTTCGAAGGTAGCTCGACAATTTTAAATAAAATCATTATTCTGACATTATTCTGAAAAGGCTGCGAAACGTCAATAAATAAATAAAGTTTTCGTGCATTAACCCGTAAAAACTAGTTTTATTAAATGAATACTAAATAAAGACCCCGTCGGTCGTCGTTGTTGCGTCGCGCCCGTAGACCAGTCACCGCGTAGTCGATATGAACCCCTCAACGCTTGCCGTTATCACGTCAACTATTTGAAGAATTCAACTAGTTGATCGACTAGTCGATGGACGGTTTAGTTTCGTCGACGAAAAATACGTCGACGACCCACCTCTACTACCCCGTGTAGCTCTAAACTGGAACCTTATTGGCCACAGACACAAATCACCCGCAAAATGTTACTTCCCCAGACGGGAGTCAAAATCGCTATGGGCAGGTTATAAACAAATCAATGGTGATTGAAGAATTACGAACAAGAACCCATAAGAATGAGCAGACCCTTCACGAGGTGGATCGACGATCTAGCGAAGGTCGCCAGAAGCCGTTGGATGGCAAGGACCGATCGGTGAGATCTTTGGAGAAGAAAATATAACTAGAAAAAATTCCACGCAGACCAGGCAGCAGACGGGACTCGAACCCGCACCCTTCGCAATCCGGGCGAATGCACTGACCAATTATGCTACCGCGGCCCTCACGGACCGCGTCGAAATTCTTTCTAGCTATTCTTAAGCTGCAAGGCAGCGCCATCTCTTCGCATTATAGGTAAACCCACAATGTCAAATGAATACTTTTACAAGTATTAAACATTTGAAAGAAGAAATAGCAATTATAGTTATAATTTTTATTATTTTAAAGCATGTAACTGCTTGATGTTTAAATCTAAAGAAAATATAACTAGAAAAAATTCCACGCGGACCAGGCAGCAGACGGGACTCGAACCCGCACCCTTCGCAATCCGCGTGAGGGCCGCGGTAGCATAATTGGTCAGTGCATTCGCCCGGATTGCGAAGGGTGCGGGTTCGAGTCCCGTCTGCTGCCTGGTCCGCGTGGAATTTTTTCTAGTTATATTTTCTTTAGATTTAAACATCAAGCAGTTACATGCTTTAAAATAATAAAAATTATAACTATAATTGCTATTTCTTCTTTCAAATGTTTAATACTTGTAAAAGTATTCATTTGACATTGTGGGTTTACCTATAATGCGAAGAGATGGCGCTGCCTTGCAGCTTAAGAATAGCTAGAAAGAATTTCGACGCGGTCCGTGAGGGCCGCGGTAGCATAATTGGTCAGTGCATTCGCCCGGATTGCGAAGGGTGCGGGTTCGAGTCCCGTCTGCTGCCTGGTCCGCGTGGAATTTTTTCTAGTTATATTTTCTTTAGATTTAAACATCAAGCAGTTACATGCTTTAAAATAATAAAAATTATAATCTTTGGAGAAGGCCTTTGCTTATCAGTGGGTGTCGTACGCCTATAAAGACGATGAGTTTCTGTTATCACCTGTCATAGCCAGAGTGTACAACTGGTCCGGGCTAGCATCCCATGTGACCGTAGGGACATCTTTGACCTGGGTCGGGGTCAACTCATTGCCTTCCTTCACCTCCACGCCGCTGGGGAATACCACCTGTAAACCGTAAAGTAATTAGTGCACACCCCTGTCTAAAGATAATATGGAAAATTGCCTAAACTTGGTTACCATAATTCCTTACTCAGCAAACCAGCACCCGTATCTTAAGCACCGCGATATGATTCAAATCATATTTTTATCACGTTTAACTGTCAAACTCTTAAGTGCAATATCGTACCATAGCCACAGGTTAAATTAACCAATACCATCAAATACAATTCACAATCTCTTGAGAAAAGTTGACAGTTTGTGATATCTTGATCTGTGACCGTTTATACCTTAGCCATCGAGTGTGATAAAAACGTGATATATATCATACTGCGGTGCTTATACTAGTGAATCTGGTTCCACGGATAATTCACAATATTTATGCCATTTACTATCTGAACTGTTTACTGGTAAATAACGGGCCATGGCAACGCTATTTACCGTATCATAATTTTTATTTCAAATCTTCTCATCAGTAAATCGAAGAATCTACTACATAGCAAATGTAGATAAATAACAAGCTTGTTGCCGATTCAAAGTGAGGTGTTATAAATGTAAAATAATAAACAGATCTGTCATTAAAATGAATCGTTATTTCAATTATGTAACTATATAAATTGCATTTGTCCCATCAGTCACGCCTCACGCGCAAGGCAAGGATACTAACAATGTGACAACCTATTAAACATGTAGTTAGTGTCGTACGTAATACATCACATCAAAAATGCCATCGCTAATCAAGACTACTTATACTAAGTATGTAACATACAGACGGGTAATGATACCTGATAATAGCTTGGATGTTGCAGAAAACTTTCGAAGCGGATCAAAAAAAATTCTGAGCTATACCAGAATAAAATAAACTATTATTATTAAAAAGAAAAATAGAGGGTTACCCATAAAACATATGGCAAAATTGATGCAACACGGCAGACCGAACACCCATTCTACATTTTACTAGAAACAAAATCTTCTAATAAAATATTCTTTAGATTTGACGACCTCGCCGACTCGAGAGGTCCCGGGTTCGAATCCCGGTGGGGGCAGATGTTAGTGTGATGAATACGGACATTTGTACTCTAGTCATGGATGTTTAATATGTATTTCTCTATAAATATACTTATATATATGTACTGTATATGTATTCTATCCGTTACCCTAGTATTCCATAACACAAGCCTTAGGTACAGTGCTTACTTTTGGGCTAGGCTAATTGGTGTGATTGTTGGAAATATTTATTTATTTATTTTTATTATTATAAATCTACCAGTTATTAACTACTTGGTTTTAATTAAGCTTCAAATAATAAATAATAAAACACTGACATTCATCTTGGCCGACATACATAAAACACAAATACTTCAATTTGGTGGAGTCACAATGAATTTTAATTGAAATTACATCAGGAACCACATCGCTTCAAGAATTTAATAATAATAACAAATAACCTTATTAACTTTGGACTGGAATACACTATAAAAATTTAATCCAATCTTGAATTTGAGTCACCGTCACAGTTCTACATCGTAAAAAACATACAAAACTAGTTCTGTGTTAAAATATTTCAATAGATACGGTTTTTAATCCTGTTAGCAGCAACAGGATTAAAACCCGTAAGTGCAGCCGAATTTAGACTTAACTCCGATTTAGTAAGCATTCCTTTTATTTTAACAGTGTGGCCAAATAAAAAATAAGATGTCTTTTTATTTCCCCCGGATCCATTATTTTAATCTATATAATGTAGTTGTGGTAGCTCCACAATTTTTAATTCACATAATGTACTTACACGCGCCTCAGCTATAACTACCGATTAAATAAAAAATTGTTTAGTCAACATTAAAAGTTCAAATTCGTTATGCATTTGTTTTCATTTGATAATGAAGTTCGTGTTAAATCAATTAAAAACAAAAAGAAAGATTTGAAAACTTCGATGAATGATTGAATGAGTTAACCAAGCTTTTTTAATATACTAGTGAACTCGCACTCGCTTCGCCTCGATGCAGACTATTATGGTTTTAATCTCGGACTTATAGAGGAAAAAGGGAAGGTAGGTTTTATAATACTATTGTATTATATACCGAAACCTTCCCTGAAAAAGCATCTAAAACATGGTGCAAATCAACCCATCGAATATCCGAAGTAGGGTTAGGTTAGGTAAAGTTTTTTCTATCAAATATAGTATTTTCGAAGCGGTTACCTCTTAAAATATAGTAGAGTGCAAAATATGGTAAAAAACATAGTATGTGGTAAAAATATTGACTTTATTTTTGAAATGAATCTATTGTTGTTGCTCTGTGCCTTAATAATATATTTTTTAAGAAAGCTTTTACGAGCAAATATCTGCTTTAAGCAAAATATAGTAGTTGCGACTACTATATATTTTTTTAAGAAATATAGTATTTGATCCCCTAATATAGTAGGATACTATATTATAAAGTAGGGTTGGCAACCCTGGTCCGAAGTCACAGTGGACAGGAACCCCTTTCTAAATAGTACACATCAAATTGAAAAATCTAAAATAAAAAAAGTTAATTCTGGCCCTGGCCATGATGTATTTTATGTTTTACTGAAATCCAATAAACGTGCTTTGTAAACTACGATGTTGATAACAACCTAAAAGTGTGTGGTTTCTTCAATCGATGTTCGCGACAACGATCTCTACTATCCAACAATTTCCAACATGCTATGCTATTTTCTACGCTAAGATGTGTAAAAACTTGGTAGAGAGCAAACTTGTTAGAAGAGTCCGACAGGTTTACTTCTTCTTAATATTGCTTAAGAGATAGCCCGGACATCTTAAACGTTACCACCGGATTTGCTGATTAAAAAAAAAGACTTCGACTTAACATGGCGATAATTCTTAACCGGAGGGCTAAACCGGAGGTCGAAACCTGAGCTTGACGAGACGATAACGATTTGGGGAGCCTTAGGGGGGATGCAAATCGTAAGCTCAGGGCACCAGATTTTAAAATAAAATCTAATTAACACGACATATTATTAGTAACCCCCTTCAAAATTTCAAGCTGCGACCGCGCCTGGATTACGCAACAAATAAATAGACCCGGCGGGGGAAAATATTTCACAACAAGTATGTTATTAGCACAATCAGTCATCACTGACGACAAATAAGTGCAATGGCAGGCTCATGCATTCTACTCCAAATGTTGAAGTCTTACAAGGATGGCATTACAGTTATTCCACTTTGGTGGAGGTTACTCCCCCAGAGCGGATAAATAAGCCTATTTTATTTCACTTCACACTTAATTTTCTTCTATAGCACTCGACCAATCTACTAAGTTCGGATCTAAATTTATGTTATGAGAAGTCTCGAGTGCTATTGATTATTATAAAAAAATATCATGATGGTTAATGAAAAAATTAGAAAGGAAATCAACAAATAGTGACCAACTGGGCACTATTTGTTGATTTCCTTTCTAATTTTATTATAGACTTTTTCCTTTTTTTTTATTTTTCTTTAGGTTAGCAATAAATCTAATTTCTTCATATTGCCATTTTAGTTTCACAAAGGTATTAGATAAGTGTTAAATAGCATCACACAGAAACATCTCCAGCGGGAAAGGAAATCATTAAAGGTCAATCACAAAATTAAAAAAATAAATCAATTGTTTATAAAAACTAATCAAGAGTTAAATGGTAGTTGTAAGCGCATTCGGTTTTCGATCGTGCAAGAGAAGCGACTTTTGCAAAGGGTGGTCATTGGATGGGTGGCCAAATTTTACGGTCTCGAGCTCTGCTGTGTCGGAATCCGTTGGTACCGGCTGGAGCTACAGTCGTTAGCACCCACTAACCTGCAATCACCGCAATGGCTTTGCGTGGTGAGTGCATGGCCTACCTATTCTACTTATTTCATCAAAAGAAAGGCCTGCGACAAGTGGTGAAGGCTTAAGCTGACAGCGAAACATAAACCAATGAATCCAAATTTTGCATTCATTGGTCGCTTTTAAATCGTTGTACGATAAGAAACATTTTCCAAGACCAAACCTAGGTAAGACCTTTTTTTGTAATCGCCATGGACGTTAACAAAAACTTTTTGAAGTACCAGTAGCTATACACCTGCTATATATATATACATCTTTCTTCGACTTCGACATCTTTGACAAATATTTAAAAAAGAAACAGCTTACCTTGACTAGTGCAGCGGGCGCCTTCGGCACAACATCAGGCACCACTTGGTTGACCTCAAAAGATTTCGCCACGGTGGACATCGCTCGAGCAAGCACCCTAAAATTGACCATAGTGCCGTCTGCTATTAACAAAACAATCGCACATCTCAATATTCTACCCAATGATAACATTCTAGATTCTTAAAAAAACTTGTTCCAAAGTTATTTTTAGAATTTTTGTTTTTTTTTCTTAGCGTCTCCGCGCGGCTACTGCGGCCATTCAACTGGAAATGACCGAGTAGGTTTTCTCATATAAACCTTAACCGGTACTATGCGCAAACAACAGGTACAGTTTTGTCGTTTCGTTACGACATTGATGCTGTTGTTGTTAAGCTGTTATTAAACGCGACGTGTGAAAAATTGGAGATAATGGTGTTTATAGTAAGACAGCAGAGTCGAAGTTATCATAATAAGTACCTATCTACTTGAAGAATATCTCACAACAGTCTTTCTTTTATTATATAACACATTTTATCTAACAGGAAAATAAATCAATCTGATGTGGTGCCATAACATCTCCACATTTACATTCCTAACCTCTGATAATAGCAATATTAACTAACTAACAGGTTAAGTTATAAAAAGTGACACTCCTAAGTAACTTCTAGGTTTATCTTGTTTGATCTTTTAAGATTTTGTTTTCTAATAAAGTTGAAGATTAAGGTTGTCTACCATAAAAAAACACTTGATTTCCTGCGCTATTTTTGTCGACTATAACATCGGTGTATCACAAACGTATGTGTTTGTGTGCAGATGCTACAAATTATGCACTTGGTGGAGTATTTTTATACATAATCATTAGGTATTGTGATAAGGCTATTTGTTTAATATTTTGTCTCCGCAAATTTGACCACTTTTCCTCCTATCGATCTAAATTAAAATGGCTTCCTCTGCGTCAGCGCAGGCAGTTATGATTACTGTGTACTCTTTTTTATATCCCTCGCAATCCGCATTCTGCAGAGTATTTTGATTGCAAGTTTCATTATCATTGTGATAGTCATGACCGGCCTCTCCGCTCTTGTGACATTAGCTCTCTATATTCCTCTTTCTCATTCAGGCTATATGTCCAACTCCTTTACTCTCCAGGCTATACAACTGTGAAATGACCTCCCCGTCTCTATTAGAAGGTCTCCGAATAAACTTATATTTAAACGGAATGTTTACACTCATCTTATGCAAAATTTAAGATAAGCCACTTTATTAATCATCATCAGACTAATAGATATAACGGTGTAGGTTCTGTATTGAGATATTATTATATTATGTATGAGTGTAACCTAGTTAATCTTAAATATTGTTTTATTAATATGTTTTTAAATTTATGCCGTCATTCGTGTTTATCGTTTTTACTAAAGGTTGACTGGTAGAGAATGCTTTAAGCATTAGACTGCCTTTTGTACCATTTAAATGTGGTCAATAATGTTTGATAAAGAAATAAGGAACGGCTGGGCGGTAATTTTTATGTACCTACATACTCAATTGCACGCAGCTCTAAATTGGCATGAGGGAAGTAATAATTTAAGCAGATAAAATGTCATCAAGGAACAAGCATTAATTCAATGCTGAAGGAATGAGGTTTTCTGTCCGATACTGTATTCAAACTTTACACTGATTAAACTTTGCTTAGCCTGCAAGAGCTCTAGTGGTTACAAGCGGTTAGTTAAAGAAGACGTATATCAGATCATGCCAGGATCAAGCTGGGCTGATATACGAGTATTTGCGATGTAGGGCCAATAGCAGCGACTGCAAAAATGGCAAATTACTCGGTTTTTTTCCAAAATCACAAGACGTTAATCGTAGGTTCATAGTAAAAATAATTGTCAATTATGTGTTAACCACGGAGCAAGTGGAGTCAACATAATCCAATATAACTTGTGTCATTAAATGCTGTCAAACGTATGGAAAATGCTGACACAAGACATTCTGGGCCCAATTCTGGCGTGTCCGTTATATCTAAAACTAACTAAAATCAAATTCAATTTCTTCAATGACACACTATCTCTAAATTCAAAAATTGACATAACTAAGTTATTCGACTTAGATGATCAAATGGTATTCTCAAAAACAGAACATTTTGCTTTTGAAACAGACATGAAGTCAATTTTTATACTTTTAAATATTTGCTTATTTAACGAAAGTTGTATGAGAATAATAAACATATAATAATTAAAAAATATATATTGTAAAGTTACAAGCTAGTGCGAAATATTTATACATGTTAAGGGCAGTTTCTTAGCCATGTACTTTAGTCATTGCCCCCAATTCGGTTTTGCTGGACTTTGATTGGATTGATTAGACAATGAACATAGAGAAAAAAAGGGTGAAGCAAATTATTCTAAATCTGCCTTTCATTACTATATCATTCAAATAAAATTTCCAACATAGTAGTAATTGCCAGTGGCATTCAACCCATAACTTTCATTGAGAAGCAAATATAATTAATAAATAATAATAATAAATATATCTAACACTCACACCAATTAGCCTAGCCCCAAAGTAAGCACTGTAAGCCTTGTGTTATGGGATGCTAGGGTAACGGATAGAATACATTTACTGTACATATATAAGTATATTTACAAGCAAATACATATTAAACATCCACGACTGGAGTACAAATGCTCGTATTCATCACTCAACCATCTGCCCCCACCGGGATTCGAACCCGGGACCTCTCGAGTCGGCGACACCATAAAACCCGGCGTACAAACCCCTCGGCTATGGAGGTCGACAAATAATTAAATTTATTATTCAATAATAATTATTTATACCAAGGTCTATAATTTTTAATATAAATATTAATTGTGTATTACAGAATAACTTTTTTTTTTATTTTCATATCAAACACTTTCTTTCTATAAAAATACAGTAGTGATGTGCCTTTGCTATGCTTCAGATAAAAGTTTTTGTTTTTGGGCATGTGTTAAGTATAAAGCTATCCTGAAAAAATTTACTGATAGGGAGTAACAGCATGAAACTTTGTTTAACTTATAAATGGAAAGCATGTTTCTTAAGGGGCCTCTTATTTAAATGTGTAATGTAATTATTTATTACATTAATTACTAATTAATGAGTAATTCATACTGCAGATAACCATATTCAGTCAAAAAAAATGTATTCTAGCATTGATAGGTGTACTGTTGTGTAGCATTTTCTTTGTTCCTTGGAACTAATAGAAGTGGTCCTCAAAGCCATTCTAAAAATATTACACAGGAAGAACACTGATGGATTTCCATATCCTAGGGGTTGGGGGTGCAAATCGTAAGTGGTGGTCCGTGGCAAGACAGAAATTTTGGCAAATGGTCCCTGAGACTTACTCATCTCTTTAACCTATATCCCTATGACCGATGACAATGATAATATGTAATTTTTTTTTAAAGTATTATCATATTGAATTCAGTGGTGTAACTTACACCTTAAATTATGGTATAAGAACATTGAAATTTTCCTACAATGGATCTATGTTGAGTAAGTCTCGATTTAAGTTCATTCAAGTCTATTTATTAACCTTTACCTTGATTTCTCTTGGGAGCAAGGACCTACCATTAATAAAGTTGTGATAGCTATTGATCACAATTAATGTAAGTACCTGTTATTATGTTCAACTTATGTGCTCAGGTCAAATAAATAAGTGTTTGATCTGAGCTTATATGCGTATTATGTAATAAGCCGGTAGGAGATTAAAAATGAAAGTTAACCAACTCAATTAAATGTGATATTTTTAAGGTTAGTTCTACTAAATCAAGGTACTTATTTTATATATAACAAATTACTCACCTGAAACTTGTTAATCTTAAAATAAATCCAAGTTTTATCTAAGAATTACTAAAATAAAATCTAAGCCGGCTGCAGCATTCAAAGTTTCAAACAGCAAATCACAGATTAGTAGTGATAAGAGGTGTCAGGTGTTGCATACCCTATATACAATATTAGTCTATGGTGTTGCAGGTAACTACACAAAACTATTCGTATTTGCTATTTATCATTTTGACAGCAGATTGTTTGTACTAAACAATGAAAAGACGAAAAGGAGAGACTATTGACAAGTTTACAAATAGCAAGTACGAATAGCCACGTCAAGTGTAGGGGTGCGGCCAGAGTGCACTCAGATTCAGATTCAGATTCAGATTCTGAAAACAAGCGCGAGAAATAAACAGTTTGTGTTACACACAAATAAATTTCGTTATTCGCATTTTTCGTAGTATGACTATATGTTTCAGTTTACGCAAGTACAGTTGATGTGTGTATAGAAACTTTTTCTGATCGTATGTTTTAAGCATGCGCGAGCATATTCGGAGAATTTAATAACGTTTTTGGCCGGATTTCATCGAGTGTGGTTGGCGTCTTATTTTAATTATTCTTATAAGTGTTATTTTGTGTTACGGTACTAAATTCCATTAGTTGTGGTGGAATTTCGGTGTAGTTTTGATGTAGGGGGGAGGAAGGGGTCTCCCCGACTCCCCCCCTACTAAAGATTTTAGTCGGAATTGCATTTTTTTTAATTAACCTAACCTAAAAATTCATAATATTTTTTAGGATGCATGGACTAGGGAAGTTAGATCCAGGAGTTCTGCCTTATCTCCGGCGCTGCGGGAATAGCAGCCCCGCCGCCTTTTGATGCAACCAATGTGAATTTTGACTTAATGTTTCATAAATTAGTCAAAATTGAAATAAGGGTAAAAAGTTGCAGGAGCGTAGGTTCAGAATGTAGACCCGGCCGATATATTTTTTACCCGGCTGCGCAATGCAAGAGCGCGAAGCGCGACGCGCAGACAGGGTTATGTGTTTAACAGTCTATATATGTATGTTTGTTCCTTTGTGGCACACTAGAGACCAAACGCCTGGACCGATTTTGATGATTCATACATCAATCGATTTGTCTCAATCATGGGAGTGCTACTAAAGATATGATAGTAATCAAAATTCAATATGGGTAAAATTAGGCGCCATATTGTGATGAAGTAAAAAAAATAAGTTGACAAAATATTTATAATTTTTATTATTTTTAAAGCATGTAACTGCTTGATGTTTAAATCTAAAGAAAATATAACTAGAAAAAAATCCACGCGGACCAGGCAGCAGACGGGACTCGAACCCGCACCCTTCGCAATCCGGGCGAATGCACTGACCAATTATGCTACCGCGGCCCTCACGGACCGCGTCGAAATTCCTTCTAGCTATTCTTAAGCTGCAAGGCAGCGCCATCTCTTCGCATTATAGGTAAACCCACAACGTCAAATGAATACTTTTACAAGTATTAAACATTTGAAAGAAGAAATAGCAATTATAGTTATAATTTTTATTATTTTTAAAGCATGTA